TTTTCATTACTGCGACTTATGAATGAAGACTTACACCCCGCCCCTCGGCCAATCGCAACTCCTCACGGAGACAAAAGAGGCGGGGTCAGGCGCACAGCAGCCAATCGGCGCCGTTTCAAAAGGGCTCAAGTTTCGTGCAGGACTTTCCAGTTGTTTTTCATTCACAAAAAGTGAGAGGGAGAGGGGGGGGAAAAAAAAAGTCCCATTCACAAAAAACCTGCCCTGGCTTGTTTTTCTTCTCGCTATTTACTGCATCGCACTTCTCCGAGAACTGGAAAAGCGGCGCTGAATGTGACGTAAATCGGCCCAAAGCCGCGCATTCTTGCGGTTTGAAAGTCCACAAAACGCATGGCGACGACAGAGATGTTAGCCTCTTCAGTGGAAAAACACAAAGGCATGAATGTTGTCGAAAAGAACTTCTCAACGCTGCACACAGGAACATCGCGACTGAACTCGACAGAACCCGACAGTGATGGGTCACTGCATTTGACACCAAAGACTTCTTTGACTAAATCCACCTTTTAATTCCACCACTGTCACCATTTTAGAAACTGTGCACGTCGCCTGGAGCAGATCAGAAAAAAATACATTTAGCTTATGACAGGACAAAAGCAATAGCCTCATCAAATAAAAAGACATCATACTCACCAGAGACGCTTATTATTAAACAATATGAATGGATGTAGATGGCTAACGGCGTGTGGTCAAAGTTGGCTGTCCTAAGTTTTACTCTGGCCAACCAATCAGATAACAGAAGAATGCTGAAAAGTTGGCCCTCGATGACATCATTGTGAAATCTGATGGCAGTCCGTTGTTAACGTAGTTGAAGTTGCATGGGCCAACATGACTGATTCTGAAGAGCAGATTAATTAGATTGACAGGGCAACATTTCCGTTACAATGCTGCAACATTGATGGTTTAAAATCAACTCAAATTGGAAGTCTGTTATTACGAACAAAAAAGTACGTATCTATAAAATTCCTTTACTGCTTATTTGCTGTATCAAAGCCTTGCCGCCCGTTTCCATTTCTCAACGTCAGCTCTTGTGTCGGCATATGAGAAACGCCACAGTAATATTTACAGGGCGCCATAAAATATTTACACCCAAAATGAAAGCCATGTGATTACAATACGTGTCCGGAGGGGAGAAAAAGAAACACTTTGAGTCATGGCGCACGTCTCGGAAGCACATGTGTTCTTCATCACGTCTTCCAATTGGAAACAAAGGAGGTGGAGGCTCGGGGGCCGGCGCTCGTGTCGCGCTGCCGTGCGTCCAGCTTGCTCAGCAGAGACGTGAGCGCTGACGGACGGGCAGACAGACGGATGGGAGACACTTTGGGCTCTGAGAGCTTATCGATTTCAGCGGGATGGAAGGAGCGCCATTACGTCTGCCGATGGAGACAAATACGCCACGAGTGAGTGACACACGACGACCGAGCGGCAGCAGAGGGAGCGGACAGTCGGCCGCGTGTCTTTGCACACCGTTTGGACGACAAAAGGTTCCCCAAGCAACACGACGAGACAAACTGACAGCGAGCGCTGAAGTGACAAAGCACCGTCAGTCCATGTCAGCTGAAATAGTCACTAAAACTTAGCAAAATATTTTTAGTATTATTCCATACTCCCGAAAGTTACCCGAATCCTTTTAAAATACTCCCCAAAAGCGACTTAAATACTCTTGAAGTTGTGAAATACTTCCTAAACGTGACCTCTTAAATATATCGAAATGCTCTCCTGTTAGTGGCTTTCACTGAATGATTTCATCACGTCCTGTGCAGGGAGCTGGCGAAGCCCCATCGCGGTACTCGAGACCACACGCTTTGAGTATCACTGCAACAGAGAATTTACTTCATCAAATATTCATAAAATAAAGTGGCAGAGCGATCCAGTAATCCGGTCGGAGTGAATCTCCCTTCTGGGACTCATGAACGGAACCTCTGCCATCTTTTTGCCCGTCTGTGTCATTCTCGCAGCGTTGGGACACGTTGTCACGTTTTGTTCTCCAAACGCGGCCCGGAATAACCACCGAGTGCCCAGTAGGCCTTGGCGAACACAATTATTAAGCAAACACTCTCACGCTTTGGGGGGAGGTTTTTGTTTGGAGGGCGAGCCGCGCCAAAGGGAAAATAAAGGGCCGTGCAAACAGCGGCCGTGTGAACAGAGGGGCGGGGCGGCGCATGCCCGCTTGTGCCCGGACACGCACAACTTCCACTTTTCTCCTCCGAGGGTCACCCGAAATAACAGCGGGCCTCTGCTCACCCCGAGCGCCGCGCCAAGGCCCGAGGAAGCCGAGGCGTGGCCAGCAAGCGAACAATACGCACCTGAAAACAAGCGCGCACGCGCACGTTGTTGTTGTGTCTGGAAATAGTGCTTCCTGCTGAGGTCAAAGGCTGGTGAACTGGAGTGTCTTGGCATGATGCTGCCGGGCCCTCGGGCGCTTTAATAATGGAAAGCCGAATTACAAATACTGTGCCACTGACTCACTTCTCGTCTATGCATTCCTCCTGAGCTCCGGTAGAGTGGCTGGCTGTTAGTTTCAAACCACTGACAAAAGATAAAACAAAAAAAACATTGCTTAATGAATGAAAATATTGGTCAAGATGGAAGCAAAATACTACATGGAGAGCCTCAATCACTTCAATGTTGTTCCTCGTCAACAAGATGGCATCAAAGCACAACAAAAAGCTCCTTAACATACGATCACATAGTTCCTTGGAAAAAAAGAAAGTGGTAAAGCACTACATGGATCTGTTCAACTCACCAAAACGTAGTACAGTGGCACCCAGATGGCAACAAAGCAATCCTCCTCCTATTCAGGACTTGGGTCTGAGTAGAAAAGCAATACAATTGGTTCGTATGTTTGGTTTGGTGCTTTTTTTCAAATGTAAAATGTGTTTTGGCAAGTCTTGCATTTAATTCCGGTCGGTCATTCCCCGCGCAGCCCCGGCGTTGCCGGGACGCCTCATTTGTGTCGAGGACAAGTCGACGCTGGCAAGCGATGAAGCTCGGTGGGCCCGGGCGAGCCACCTGCGGACCGACCTCCTCCGACAAGCACACTGGCCCGCTTGTTCCGAGGAGCGCGCGGGCCTTCTCGTCTGCCCCGTCTGGGCTGGTCCGGCCCCTGCCAGAGATCAATCAGGTGAGCACAAAAGCTTGGAGCTTTTACAGGGCTGCTTTGCACTCAAGAGACACGGCCGCCGTGCAGCTGCACGGCTCAGCTGCCAATGGGAAACGCACAAGGCACACACTGACACAATCCTCCCTCCCCACACAGTAAATGCCCATAAAGATTAGGTTGGATTTTCACTCAGGAAGGCAGCACTTCATGCTGTCAAACGTAAAATACATCCACACTCTAAGCCCCCCCTGTCAACAATTTCGTCCAACATTCGAGTCAGTGCCTCTAATCTGCAGCTCCGCTTACCTAATTGGCTTTTGCAACCAAGTTGTGGATGGGAAAACATCACAAATCAGCAAATTTAGACAGGTTGGGCATTTTCATAAATTTCCTTTGTTGTTGATTTTAAGTGGGCAAGCATGACTTTGTTCTGGTGCCAAGTTGTGATTTGTGTTTTGACGACCATAATAACAGTGCAAGGTTTTGGACCTCTGGCTTGTGAATTGTGCAAATAGTCGCAAAGGCACATATTTGCACTCTTAAAGTGCTTGTAAAAGAAAAAAAAAGTCACCAAAGGCAACTGTTGTAGTGGGGGACATTGTTGCTTTAAATGAAGGAGACAGAGAGGATCTTTGTTGATGCCTGCGTGTTATGCCATGAGCCCCCCTTACTCCCCCCCCTACCCCTACCTCCATTGTCACCCCACATGTCCATTTAGATGCCATTTAACACGGCATGCTAATTTGGGTGTGGATACAAAATAAGAATGTCACTTACAGAACCGTGGTTGTTTTTTTGGGTCCTCCCCACCCAGCGAGCGCCATCAAACCGTCCACTGTGGAAGACGACAAAGATGACATTCAGAAATCCAACACAATGGCAGCCCGGATCACGAGTTCAAAACACATTAATAGCAAGTTATTTTAGCCTTTTGAGAGCTGGTGCACGCAAGTGCCCCTCACTATCCCGGGAGGGGTTCACGCTCCTTTTTCAAAGTCTGTCCAAACAAGAGGGGGGCTTGGACAATTCATTAGGCGCATCACGGGTGTGTACATACAGTATGTGGGTTTTAAAGTCACGGCTGGGATCACATTGATAGTAAAAAGGGGAAAAATGCTAAACTGAATTTTTGATTAATTTCAATAATTGATTATATTTAGTTAACAATGTAACTGCTAATAATGAATTGAAATTACATTGCAGGCCGCCCCTATTGAAATACTGCCTGAGAATGTTTTATAACATTTATAGCAATTGTTTTTTAAAAGGTTTTCCAACGCCCTTTTAAAAAATTACCAACACAATTACACACGTCATATCCTATATTGAGAGAGTACCAATATCTCTGCGTGTTTGCGGTAAACAAATCCCATTTTTTTCGAAACAAAGATATGATCATCTGACAATATACCTAAATAATGGTAGCCATAGACGTATATTTTAAAATTAACCTACTAACGTTGTGCTCTGTCGGCGTACAAAGGAGCATTGAAATGGCGTCGGCGTTAATCATCTTTACAATTAGCCACAGCTGGAATACTTCCTGTTTTCATTCTTCTTCTTTCAAGCGTAAAGCGTGTCAAGTGAACTATTGTGCCGCCATCTAGTGGTTGACAGTGGAGTTACAGACAAAGTAAACAGTATGCAACGCCATGTTTTTTTTTTTTTACTTCAAGTTGCTTTGAATTTTATATTAAACAAAGGATCTTTCAAATTCTGATTTTTAAAAATTCACATTAAAAATACGTTTCAATATTCCTTCAAATTTTGTGAGATGAAACATTTACGATATATGAGATAGTGAGTTTTTTTTTTTTTTTATATGTGGGAATAAAAAAAAAAAAAAACATTGGCAATAGAATTGCAAGTGATATTCAGGGAGTCATTTTTGGAAAACATTTATTCACATTGAATTGACATCAGTGTATTTTTAGTGCATTTTTACATAATTGCCTACGTGTGCACGTCCAAGCATCACGCGTGTGCGAGTACGTGTGTGTGTTGGAAACAACGTGCCGCATGTTTGCGAATGAGGACCGAGCGTACGCGTGTTCTTTTTTGCACAGTCACTTGAGCACGGAGGAAACACAATATGCAGATCTCGGCAGCAGACACGACACGCGTAACACATACATGGACTGTACCTACTCTATATATACTGTATACAGTCGACCCGGTGCACAGTTGATCAATACGGAGGCATTCTCACGCCAACACGTTGCCATTCGACAAGCGACACTCATTCACATTCCTCCTCCTGCTTATTCGGTTATTTGCTGTGTGTTTAGGTAGTGCTCCCTGTCCCCGTTCTTTCTTTTCCGTGCTTGCTTGCGTCCTTCCCTCCTCCCACTAGCTTCTTGTTGACTTTAATTCTGGACGTTGAGGATCTGTGCCGACAAGCCGTGGTGCCATTTCCTCAGCTTGGCGAAGCGAGGACCTCGCATCTCCGACTCAAACTTCTCTCTGCGTCAGGGTGACATGCAGGGGCCACAGGAAGAACATGGGGAGGTCGTGCTTTCACAACAGCTGGAGTGGGTCTGGGGAGTGGGGGAGGCTACTCCCACCCCTCAAAGCGGAGCTTACCTCGACTTCTGCAGAGCTTCCTCATTTGGGTCTTGCACTTTATGGGCAGACGAGAGGATTTGTTAAGATTGCATATGAGCATGCATCATTTGAAAAATAGCATTTTTTTCCCTCCCTGACTGACTGTATTCGGTTCCGGTGACGTGCGCCAGCATCCTAAAGCTTTTGGACTGCAGGTTGGCGGCACGGCGAGCCCACTCGGACAAGTCCAGGGAGTTGTCGCTGGGCCTGATGACGGCTTGGTAGACGGGCGAGGCGCAGTCAATCACGGGGTCCTTCATGGGCAGCACCGCGCTTGACGCACAACACATGCACCAATTAAGTATTTGCGCTTACAAGACAAGCGGGAGCGGGAAACAAGCAGCAATGTATGGAGCTGTCTTAAAGGAGACATATTAGGCATCCCCACGCCTCACACACACAATTAGGAAGAGTCACATTCCGAGAATGGAGAGACAATTTTTCCAAGCTACACAGACCGGCATCATTTAGGTCGAGCTATTAAAAAGTCCATTTAATTATGATTATTTTTTTTTGTCTTGCATAAGATGCCCCCCTTAAGTGTTTTCATGGGGTGGGATGGTACTCACGCCAGGGGGGATCCCGCCTCCTCACTGAGGTCACGACCAGGTGGCGGTGGCGGGATGAGGATGAGGAGGGAGGGATGGAATGAGCAAGAGCAAAGTGGGTGACACCACACATAGCTGTGACGAAGAGGGTGCGGGAGATGGGGGCGGGGGGGCGAGCTCACCCTTCATGACCTTTGGCCTGCGACTGCCCAGCGATGGCATCCATGATGGCGTCCTGCGAGTACATGCTGATGGGCGTGTTGTACTGCGCGTGCACGATGGTGGCCTTGCCGCCGGGGCCCCGCACCTCGATGGGCTTGTGGGTGGACAGGGCCGAGTCCTTCAGGGCGATGGGGTTGAAGCTAGGGGTGTACTCCACGCTGGCCCGCAAAAGAGTTACACAAGTCACACACAGAGGGGGCGCTGTTGCTTTCATTTCCAAAGGAAAAGTCCACACAGCTGCTCATGCACTTAGTCTGCTGTTTGAGGGCCAAAATGAGAATATAAAATACCCAGAAAATGTTGAGTCTCTGACAACACAACACACATTCAGACACACATGCAATGTTGTTACGCTCTCAAAAATCTGGCAAAAAAAATTGGGTGATTCACATCACACCTTTCCTGGCACTGCATACTTCATGCACATTAATGCATGTTTAGAGCGAATACCGACTTTGCAGGTGTGTTGGCGATGACCTACATCACACACATACACAGAAATAAAGAAAGAGAAATTAGAGACACTGGTGACTCAATGAATTGCGCAATGTAAGCTGCTAGGAAACTATCAAATATGTCATAATCCTCAATCATCATTGGCGTCATCCCCCTCGGCCCACCCCTCCTTTGGCATGCCTGAGTGTGAGTGACAAGAGCAGGGGGGTCTCTATCACATGACACAGACAGAGGGCGGGGAGTCTGGGGGTGGGGGGCAAAAATGGCCAGGAATAGCTTCAAATACCTGCACTCACGCACACCACCTGATCCGCTTATGTCATGAGTGCACCTATCACTCACACACACACACACACACACACACACACACACACACACACACACACACACACACACACACACACACACACACAGGGACACCCTATCTCCGGCCGAAGATGATGATGCTGCTGATGATGCGTGACAGGCTCGGAACATTCCGCCAGCGTGTCGGACAGCTGCCCCGGCCTCGTCCAATGAGGGGTCTGTGTCAGGTTTGATAGCGGCGTCCTAGGCAAGCACGTGCCCACGACACCTGACTTATCAGCGGCACCGCCCGCCCACTGATAGGCGGATGCTAAGAAGTGCCGACAGGTCAGGGTGAACAGTGACCTTAAGGATGCTTTTGAAGGTTGCCATAGCAACAGCCCGCCATCATCTGTAGCCTTACCCTTTTGAAGTCTAATCTAACCCTAATTCAAACAATATCAACGTTTCATGAGTGCCTGCCTTTAGTTTTACCGCAATTCAAATGTGGATTTTTTAGGGGGCGTCAGGGAGGGTGGGAATGGCATCGCAACAACCAAATATTGTCAACGAATCGCTACTACTGGTTCATCACCACTTCGTTAGTTATGTTTTTTTTTTCTGTTAAATTGAAAGGCTTTTTATCTTGCATTGCGAGCACATACTTTGATGCGTTTGCGAGCCGCCTGCACCGTATTAGCTTTTGTTTGTTTTGTTTTTTGTTTTTAATTCGGGGGGGGGGTTGTGTTGATGTTAGCATAGAGTGGGATAAAAGTTAGGTAACCTAATAGTGTTTTTTTTCCTCCCCCCATTATTTCATTCTAACACTTATTCATTGCTGCACTTCTAAAACGTACCACGGGTAGGCAGCAAAGGCAACACAGAAGCTGTATAGAGAATACTGTATAAGGCTTGTTTGTATGCTTAATAATAATAATAATACGAATAATATGTTCACATTTGTCTTGTGTGTGTCCATACCTTCTGGTGGGGGATGACAGGCATGGGGGAGTCCATCCTGGGGGTGGCTGTGGGGACGGGCGCAGGACGTCTCGACCTGATCGTTCAACAATACATTTACTTTTACATTTTCAATTTATTTATTTATTTGGTGGGGAGGGGGGGGGGGACTTGTATGGATCAAATGGGGACGTTTGGCGCGCGGTTTACTTGTGCATGCTGAGCACGAGTCTGCTGGTGGCCAACTTGATCCTGTTCTGGGCCTCCAAGTGCGTCAGGCCGTCAGTGCTGACACCGTCGATGGCCGAGATGATGTCGCCCTGCGCTAAGAGGCCTCCCGACGCCTTGCTGCCGGGCGTTATCTGAAAAAAGAAGGCACATATCAGCAAGCGCATACAAAAAAAGTTTGTGGAACAGTCATTTGTTTGAACTGCCCCCAAGTCGAGTCAAGAATGTTAAAAACTCAGTTATTGTTGCGGTTGTTATTATTTTTGCTGGCCCTTTAAGGCAAGAGCGCCTCACAGAGTATGGGGTCTAAATTTACAGGCAACTCGTTAAAGAGTTAAAAATATGCCAGGTCGTTGATGCCTGCGGACGAGTGACCCTCCGCAGAGGCGCACGCATGCACACACCTGCCGCTGACATTCACTCTTGTCTCAAGTTCTGTTTACATTCAGCAATCGGATTTCCTCCTCGTGTCAACATTTGACATTCTTCTGTCATTTCCGAGCAATTAAATACTTTTAAATGCATAGGGCAAAAAGTTGGGTACCTTTTTTTATTTTTATTTTTTTTTTATTTTGCTAATGTAAGTAATGTATTTGCAAATTATTTTAAAGACAATTTTCTTTTTTTATGGAGGAAAGAAATTGTTTCCTAATATATATAGAAGCCCGCGTCTGCCGCCTACGAAACCGGGATCAGGGAACAATGGATCTTTTATAACTCGGGGAATTTCCGTGCAAACTTTTCCACTTATCGAGGAGCCAAAGATTCTCGCTGATGACCCCGGGATAGGTGAGTGCCCCCCCGCCCCCCCTAACCACCTCGCCTTCCCAACGCTATTTAAAGGGGAAGCTGTAAATACACCAAACGTCCTGCCAGGGACCAAAGACACCCCCACCCCACCACCACCAAAACAGTCTCCTATTGAGTCCTCATTAGCCATCATTTAAAAACAAGCATCATTCTGATGATGATGTACAAAAGACGGGTCCAAAAGACTTGACGTTACCAACAAGTAACCACAATGGTTGTCTATAGATTAGATAATCTGTAGCATAGTTTGCGAGCAATTTTTGGTGGGTCTACAACCAAGATTAGAATAGTTTGGGATATTTCATGCTTTCATTCTGACTTTTTTTTTTAACACTTGGTTACTTGTAATTAGTTTGTAGAACGACTTAGTTTTTATTTGCTTCGTTTTAGTTGTCGATAGTTTTAGTATTAGTTTGAGTTTTTTGTAACATATGGAGTTTGTCGCGTGCAAGTTTTTGTGTAATGAAGTTTGATCATCCTTCTTCTGCACTGACATACAGCAAATATTGAAATGAAAACATTAAAATTGACGCCCCGACGCTCATGTGAGATATTGATCAAGAAAAACAGAAAAACTAATTCTACCTAGTTTCAGTTGGCTTTACAATCAGAAGATCTAGTTTCAATTAAGTTTTCTTCACCGAGATTTGATCCAACCGATGAAACTCAAGACGATGACCTTAGTGGAAGAGTCATGTGTCATCAAAACCAACAGTTAAATATTTGGCAAGATGCCAAAATGGACAAGCAATCTGTAAAAACAAATAAGCAGGAGAAATCATTCTTGCTCGAGAAACGTCCGCGCGAAAAATCCCCTTGAGTTGATTTTGGACGCCAAAGTCATGGCAAATCCTAACCCAATATAACAACATTGGAGTTAGCCCACTCTACTTCTCAGTGGCTCAGAAAACTGAAAGGCTTTGTCAAATCCAATAAGACCCGAGGGGTCAAAATGTACGCGACATTGTCACATGATGCCATTTTTTGGTCTTTTGGTCTATTTTTGGGGGGTCGGGAGGCATTTTAGCGCCGCTCTTACCCTGGAGATGGTGAGGGGCATGTTGAAGTCCTTCCCGCCCTGCAGCCGGAAGCCCCACGGTGCCGGGCCGTTCAGCGTCACCGTGTACGTGCTCATGTCGGCTTCTGGAAACTCTCGCTCGCTCGCCTGTTTTTGGGAGTCCTGGCTCTCCGCGCTGGCCCTGCTGGAGTTGCGTGCAGCACCCTCCCCTCGGTCCTCTGCTGCTGCTTCTCACATCGGGGGCCTGGATGTGCAGATCCCCAACGTTGGTGGGGCGGTGCAAAGGGGATGGGCGGGGGGTGCAGGGTTCAGACGCTGTCATGACACACAAATATACACAGGCCACACCGAAAAACTTGCCACCTTGCATCAATTTCACCATCAAAATCGACATAATGCAAACTTTTGGGCGGGGGATTATAATATAAATAATCCAAATATGAACAGTGGAGATGAATTTGAGGGCATCAGGCTGGCTATGAGCGACAAGCCTAAGAATAGCAAACAAGGGCCACGAGTGTGTGTGAGTATGTGTGTGTGTGTGGCCCCTTATAAGGTTTGAAACCAGAAGCCCCAGAATGCCTCAGTGCCCAAGCACTTGCAGCCAATATAGACTCACCGTCTTACTGCCACACATTCTCTCTCTCTCTCTCTCTTTCTCAGCTTTAGCTTTGATTTGCATTAATGCAAATAAATATGGTCTGGGGAGAGGGACGAAGCAGCCTGCGTCAACAGATTCAACTTGCTTTTACAGAGTAGTTAGGGATGCTCTGAAAAAATTACACAACTCTTGTCTTCTTAGACTGTGTACACACACACGCGCGCACACACAGTCTAATAAGACAGGGGGGGGGATTCAATTAGCAGGCACAGGACGCAAGACAGGGGGGGGGATTCAATTAGCAGGCACAGGACGCTTATAAACAAACACGGTGAGAGCACGCACACGATCTGCTAATCTACAAAAATGGAAAATAAAACAAAAAGGGAGCGCTAAGAGGATTTAACACGCTTACCATTTTTTTTTTCAGTAGCGTCAGGAAAGAAAATATGAGTATCAATATAACGTGTGGGTGCCACGTGAGCGCGTGCGGTGCTAAAAATAACAGTAACAAAGGCTGGAGGATCAAGGTGGTGACATGTTGCATTATTGCAGCCTATATTTACGATTATTTATTTTTGTGGGCGTATGTGCGTGTTTTTTTATGGGGCTTTAGCCATTATACAGTATGAAACCACAAATAAAAACAAAGAGTCGAATGTTATTCATATTAGCAGTTATCTCTGTTGTGCTACGAACACTGAATAACGGTTTCGATGCATCAGCAATTCTCATAAAAAAAAAAAAAAAAAAAAAAAAACTTTTATGAGTGTTTCGTGCTCTGAAGTGTAATCTCTTACCTGTAGAGGGCGCCACAGTTACACAGGCAGAATGGCTTGTCTCAAGTCCAGCAGGGGTCGACGCCGTCGTCGTCATCGTCGTCCTTTGTCTCAATGTTTCATTTTATTATTGTCAACTTGATTGTCAAATGCGCTCTATGTGCAACATACAGCACAGATGACATTTCTTTCCTCTCAACCTCAGGCGAGAGAGAGAGAGACAGAGAGTGAGAGAAGAGCCGCTGCGGGTGCCCGCGCCGCCATCAACAGAACAGTTAACATAAAATGACAAAATAAGACAACACAACACATAAGACACAGTCATGCAATCTTAACGACTTTTTTTTGCATACACTTTGTTGTTTGAAGCAGTTATAGATGAAAGAGGAGCGAATCAGTGTTCTGTCACGTCTTGCATACACTCGCAACATGGCGACGTAAACACTCTCTCACTCAACACAACAACTCTCTCCTACCCACCACATTTTCTTACACAACGTAGCAACAAATTTATTTAGAAAAATAAATAAAAACAACCATCGGAGACAACATCTTTGGACAAAGAAGAAACAAAACGGGACTTTGGGGGTGCACAATGTACACTTTCTATGATCCGTCATATCATATTTACAGTTAATGTCCCCAATTATCTGTACATTCAGAGACAAGGAATATGCCAATGGATGGTGTGTGTGTGTGTACATATGTGTTCTGTATTTAATAAATCCTCTAATAGTCATTTCATCAGAATATTGTGCTTATGTGGCAGAGATCGTGACTCACAGGCGAGAGGAGCAATTGTATTCATCTGTAGGACACGTTCATTGTGCATGTCCATGTGCCCGTTGATTTATTTTTGAATTTTTTTAGATTGGATTATTTTTAGTTGTTCTGTTTACTTCTTATGTGTCAGCTGGCGATTATCACGAATGCCTGATGCAATTTTTCGCACACCAATCACAGGACAAGTACACAGTGTGCACCGTGTGCTTGCTCCGGACCTCCCAAAAATTGGACAATTTTTAGGGGAGCAATATTTCAATGTCATCTTTTTCTTATGTTGCAATATATTAACGTGTAAAAAAAAAACAACAACAATCAGCAATAAAGTCAAATAAATAAATTGGCCGATTTTAAAAGTGCTATGATCAGCCGATTAAATCGGTTGGACCCTACTTATCTGTTGTCATTCAGTGGAAAAAACAGCATTTGTATGCCCACAACATTCAGTACATACTGGATGATTCATGATTGGGCAACAGTGCGTGCTGGAGCTTTAAATTAGCATTTTTAGCAGTTAGCATGCTGCTATTTGGTGGGAGAAAAAAAAAAAAATCCACATTTACACACGTGTCTGTCCGTCTGATGGCGCTCACGCTGTTGCCGAGGGCGCGTCCAGTCGCGCGATGTCCAGTGACGCCTTGGCGACGGGGCAGAAGCTTTTGCTGTGGTTGCCATGGAAACCGGGGGGACTGTGTAGTATGGAAGGGCTGGATATGGACGTGACGATACTGGCGGCCGTCGGCTTGCAGATGAACTGTGGGCCAAACTCGTCCGCTGCTCGAGACAGCTGGTAAAAAAAAGCAATGAGATATTTTTCATTATGAAATGCAAAAAATACTTTTTTTAATGTTTTTTTTTTTTTTTTTTTGCTTTTGTTTAGTTTTGTTGAGAAGCGGGGTGAGCAGTTACACACAAAGTGCAAACTCCAGCGTACTTTCACAAATGCCTTTTGGACACTGTTGATTAAAGTGCGTCTGTGCCAGCAGGTATTTGTTAGCCCCAAGGACAACATGAGGAGCCCACGGATCTGTTCTAAAAAAATAGCCCACCAGTTTTGGGAGATTGTGATTAGCAAAGAAGAATAATGTTAAGACGTATTTACTTATTTAACATGGTATAGGATTTTTAATGTATCAAATAATCTATATTTTGTTTTAAAAATAAAATAGACTGAATCGAAAAGAATAATTGGTTTTATTCAACCAAATATTAGAAAAAAAGACAGAGCTGTAATTTTAATACTGATCTTCCGCGATATTTCTGCTCACGTCATCTATAATCTAATATAGGGCCACGGCTAGTGTACTATACTGCCCATGGTGGCCAGGTCGTGCACAGCACAGAGAGCTGCAATTCATTCAGCACGATGCACAAACATGTTTAAGCTTCTTTAGATGCTCTGAAATTATGCTATGATTATGATTTATCAAGTAGAATATGATGAAGAGCGTGCGCAAGAATGAAAATTATGGTGTGCGTAGATGGATAAGTGGCCATTGTGTGTGGGTGTCAGGGGACATGGAAGTGGTCACAGATGATGGCCGCATTGATTGGTCGCACTGATGAACAGAGCGCCTTTCGATCAGAGCAGACCCAGAAGCCCCTTTTTACATCAATCAAAGTCGCTCCTTTCTATTTGAGGAATGAGCGCGCTTTTGATTGGATGATTTGGACAAAAGGTTGGGATTTCATTCATTGGAAAGGTCAAAGTCGCTTAGATGTGGGAAGAAAAACAGCGGCGGCTAAATCCAGGGGGTTCAAAATTTGGCCCGGGGCCAGTTACCGCCTGCTGAAGGCTCTTTATTTTTATTTTATCAGCCAGACATATATTGACATGGAAATTAAATGGTCTGCTTCTAAAAAAAAAAAAAAAAAAAAAACATTTTAATAAAAACACATCCCACTGTATTGTGGTTCAAAAGTAAAAAATGTTCAATTACATTCTTAAAAAATGTAGCGCTCACAATGCTTCCCTTTTCGAGTTGAAGGTTTCATAAATGTAATCATCACACCATTTTCTAAACTTCAAATGACACCAAAGGTCAGGAAAAAGCTTACACTGGCAGGGAGGCGACTCTTGGCCAGGAGGCCAAGGTCCGACATGGAGATGTCCTCGGCTTCCGTCACACTCTGCGCACAGGCAAACGTGTAGGAGGTTACATACCAATAGGAAAAAAAGTGACAGCACTTTGGTCATGAAAAGAAATAAAAATGAACAAACTTTTGGACTGTCACGTCATAATTTTGGAAAAAAAAAAATCTAAAATAAAAAGTATATATTTTTAAAAACGCATTTGCAAAATGTTTTTGACTGAACTACAATGAATTAATTAGAGAAGAAAAAGATTGGGTTGCCAAATTAGTACCTGTCACCCAGTGGCGAGGCGGGATCATCACATAAAAATCAAAGCGCCGACATTCGAGATTACGGATGCTCTCGAATATTACAGATGGTAGAATACGAGATGGGGGATGGAGGAGGGGAGTGAGAGGTCAAACAGAAAACATTATCAACCGTCGCCCGTTTTCTTGGTCTGATAAGTGATTTGGGGGGG